TGTTGATGTTACTTATGATTTCCATGACTTTCAAAGCTACTTACGAAATGTGAACAAAATCACTCAAATGTTTAAGGCGATTGTTTATTGCACCACAGGATTTTCTTTTAAAGCATTCACTATAAACATTCCAAACCTGGAAGAACTAGTGTATCTAACCAACATGTATACATGAATAAGCGTTTAAAGGGAAACTCCATGGGATGTAACCACCAAAAGGATTTTCCCACAAAAATAAGCAATTTTCATGTACTCAGGAATTTCTCACCTATCTCTCTCTGCACTTGGATTCGAACTTTAATTGAATTAATAAAGGTTGATTTAGTTTAAAATGACTGGTCAGTCATTATAACCAACAAGAATCTTCCTTACCTTTGATGGAAATGTCAACATTAGGTATAAAAAAAGAAGAAAAAACTATTTTAGGGATTAAATCATTTTAAGGTGTATGGAAGGTTTATAGGAAGCTGTGGTTAGCAAAAATAAGCATTTAGAACATTTTCAAACCCATGGAGTGTACCTTTAAACATTAACCTTCTTAAATGCAAATCAGAAGAAATAAAATAAAATATCTAAACACCATTATCTTTGTCTGATAAGCCCAACTTATACTGCAAAGTAATTTTAATCCAGTAAGCGCCTCATTATTACATAAAATAATGTATTTCAATTTAAAAAAAACTTACTTATGAATAAGCCAATGGCTGAAACTAAAATTGAACAATCACAGGACAAGGAAATTATATTTAAAATTGTAAACCACATATTAAATCTTAAAGTCAAATTTAAAATACAAAGTGATCTTTGGTATATCAGAAATATGTTTTATATACACTGACAGTCAATGAAAACGCATCAGAAAACTTTCTTGTACTTTTTTACCCAGAATCGATTCAAACCATACAAAGGAGTACAAATGCACTTGTTTGGAGAGTGGACTGACCACTATTTCATATTTCACATATTTCACACGAAAACTGTTATTTTCTTAATGTGCTAAAGGAACTTAAAATATTATTTGATAAATAAATGATGCGTTTTCATTGACTGTCAGTATATATATCGATTGATAGCAGATGAGATGCAAAACACTTAAGATGCAAATAGAGATAACATTCACTTGAAAGAATTTAGATGGTATAGAGCAACCACAGGCTGCGTTCCCATAAACCCATCATACTAGCTAGATTGATCTAACTCTGCAGGGTTACTCACTAAAGTCAGGCCTACCAGACTCGGCACCGAATGATCCAGAATTCACCGGTAAATCGGACCACACTACCCGTTTTCAAGGTGTGTATCAGATCGCATTACACAGTATCAGACGCGACACCGCTTTTGCCTAGTACGTGATGTGATAGGGACGATTCTCAGCGGGGTTGAAAAGCATTGCATCACCACTCAAAATTTGTTCAGGGTATGATACTGTGTAATGCGATCTGACACACACCTTGAAAACGGGTAGTGTGGTCTGATCTACCGGTGAATTCTGGATCATTCGGTGCCGAGTCTGGTAGTTGGGTAGGCCTGAAAGTGCTTTCAGTGTAATCAGCTTAATTGTCTGGTACACCCCATTGAGTTACAATGAGGTAATTGACTACTGTTAATTATATCTAGCAGCTTGAGTAGTAGTATAAAACAATGGAAGAACCTTTAAACACACAATGCACCAAAAACTAGTAATTTGAACAATGATGAAACACAGACCGATATTAGTACACATCTATGGTAACATATTTAAAACTACTTGTTAGTCTTGAAAATTAAAGAGACAATTTAAATTCACAGCTTATTTTTCTCCAGCTCTGTCATTCTAAAGGCTCCAATGTCACTGCTCTGGTCTGAGAAAATCTGCAGGAATTATTCTTCCTCACAAACTTATATAAGATGATAGATGGTGTGAAATTTTACTCAGACACATCTCCATCTGGACTACTTAGAAGAGAGACTTCCTCAAATTTCCCCATGCTAAGTTTTGACATTGTCTTTTTCCATTTTTGGATTCCAGTTTCTTTGCCACTTCTCTCAATATTAGCAGCCTGACTGAATGCTCCTACACTCTTTGTGTTTTGTCCTGTGGATCCCAAACCTAAATCTCCATCCACTTCACTGTCATACAATACAGAAGAGTCTGCATTTGAATTGTGTTGATATTGACTAAAATTATGGTGTGAGTTTTGGCCACTATCTGCCTCTCTTGTGCTGTCATAGGAACTGTTGTCATGGAAACTACTTTGACGGTCTGCTGAGGTCCTGTCAGGTATATTTCTTGGCATTTCTACCATGGGGATATTTTCCTCAATATTGCTGAGGAGTCTTGCATATTCTGAACCCCTGTTGCCAGGGTTATTAACATGGGAATTGTTGACATGACTACCACTGGTTGCCATGGATCCTGCACTCCCTGGCTGCACCAAGGCAGCTTTCTTTTCATCATTGTAACAAAACATGTATTCAAATGTGTCATATAGTGCCACCAGAAAGCAGAACACACCTATCAGCAAAATAATCTAAAACAGAATTTGAAAAAATATTACACATTTCTATCAAAATCAAAAAAGTCCATTCCAACTAACAAATGAATTTTCATCATCAGCCAAAGTAAAGAATGAGCTGACATTTTATGAAGTAACTCAAGTAAAAATCTCAAGGTTAAAAAACACTTCAAATAATACTATAAAATGTTGTTGACTGCAATACCACATTACAATGTAAACTGGAGACAAGGCATTTACCTTAAGAGTTTTGGGTGGAATGCTGGCTTCAGGACCTTGGTTGGCAGGAGGGGGTGGACAAGGCTTTGTGAAGTTGTCATAAAGATACCTCCCAGACACAGCATCTGATATTAGTCTTAGAAAACAATAAAATATATGATCAAAACTTATTTGGCGGGTTTTTCAGGACACATGGTGAGGAAAGGAGGGTGGGAGTGTTTAGCGATCACAGGGAAAATCAGAGGAAAGAGAAGCAGAGGAAGACTGCGTGTTGGCTTTGTCAAGAGTTTAGGTTTATGGATGGGTGTGTCCAGTAAAACAAATCTGAGGTTCATCTGAACAAAAGGAGTTGTGGAGGTCAATATAATAGTCAATGTCCAGCAAGGACAAGATACTGAGAGAGAGAGAGAAAGAGAGAGAGAGAGAGATAATAAGTGTAGCGTAATACTATCTCTCCTCCTTTTATTACACAAAAAAATGGAAAAAATGAAATATCAGCTTTCACATGGTATTTTAATTGTTCAAACACTTTATTTTACAATAACTCAGCTAATTAATGTTTAAAACTTCCATGATAACTGTGAAATCCACTATTATTCATGTCATAGAGACTGTATACATTACCTCTTTCTTGCCTCAAAATTTCCACGGTTCATCTGAGATCCAAACAATACCAACTGCCATTTCTCAAAGATGCCAAATGGAAAGATGTGGTTTCCTGGTCAAAAAGTAAAGTTTCAGATATGGAAGAAATGTAAGATCAATTAGAATTTTCTTAAGACTCTTTACCCATACATAATTATTTAATTTAATATCAATGTTTGTAAGTCAAAATCAGCATTTCAATAAAGAGAAACACTAATATACTTCTTAATAATCTTAACCCACAAATATTACAGACAATATTCAACTAAATATCGATGTATGTAATTCTTTATTAAGTTGAAATCAGTATTTCAATATGGATTTAGACTTATAACTTCATCTTAAATTAGATTATATATTTGAAGTAAAACTTTCCAAAAGATAAACCAACAACTTTATAATAACACAATACCATGCTTATCACAGCAATTGGAGAGTTGAGGAGGTTAAGGCCAATAAAACTAATAGATCAGATGAACTGCCTCTTGACCATGTACCGCCCACAGGGTGTGGTCCAAGGGTATCACAACCAACAGAGATAGTTGTTAAGTTATTAAGTGTTCAGAGTCGGCTGATGCAACAATAAAAATGCACCGATGCCCACTAATGAATATTTTTCACGGTACAGCACATAGTGAAAAATGAAAAATGAGGTGTGACTATTAGGTGTACTTTATAGTAGCACTTCAGTTCTAGCCCAACAACTTAGCAGTCAGGACACACTAAAATTTTCAAGATGTCTCAAGATGGTGAGTTGGTTCCTAACAGAGGAGAAAGTCCCTAAACGACATCATAACCCAGAAAGTTAAAACCCAGGTCGTCGCCTCCCAAACAGTAGATATATACAACCTACAGAGCATGATAGCCGCCAATCTTAAACAATTTTCCGAGTCCATGGACTTAACACAAAAGCATATCCCTAACATAGAGGACAAAGTATCCTCTTCTTACATGTATAGAAGAAAGGGCAACAAACAATAGTACAAGGTGAACGATCAAGTCTTAAGGAAGCTAAATGGCGCTGACGAAATCCTAAGATGCAAAAAGGCTGCAAACAACATGTTGGAGAAGGCCTGGGAGAAAATCTGGGAAGGTATACGGTCTTATTAGCCAGACAGAAGCTTATAAAGATAGCAGATTCCAGCTCTCAAGGTTAGCTTGTTGTTGAAGAGAACAGTTCAAAGCCCGTTGCAGATGGCTCAGAGGACAAAAAGCGCATCCTTAAAAAGCACATTGATGCCAGACAGAGCAAGAATGAAACGATAAGTAGACACTGTTATACTCACAAATGCATGTTTATCTTGTGACAATAAATGTTCAAACAAAAGTGAAAGTAAATGATTAGAATGTGACTTTGAGCAGTTATCCCAAACAGAATGTTTTGCATAACAAAATTGATTTTTGTTACCCGTAGGTAGATTTAAGTCATACATTTCAAAATGGGTTGAAACAGTGGCTTGTTCCCACTTATTGGAAGTTATTGAATCAGGTTACAAAATTCCTTTTAAAGATACGCCTGAGAAGGTCTTTCTCAGAAAAAACAAATCAGCCTTGGAAAACGCTACTTTTATATCCAGCGAAATTACAGCTTTGTTGAACAAATGTTGCATTTCAGAGGTACATTTTCTGCCCCACGTTACCAACCCTTTATCCGTTGCTTACAGTAGGTCCGGTAAACCTCGATTGGTATTAGATTGCAGGCACATCGATCCCCACTTATTCAAATTCAAATTTAAGTACAAAGATTTCAGCGTAGCCAGAGATATATTTAAGAAAGGGGAATACGTGTTTTCATACAATTTGAAATCTGCTTATTTCCACATTTTTGTTTTTCCCGATCAACGCACCTTTTTAGGATTTACTTGGATCATAGATGGGAAAGAAAGATCATTTGTTTATAATTCACTTCCATTCAGTCTAGCTACTTCTAGATTCATATTTTCTAAACTTATAAGGCATCTTGTCAAATACATCAGGTCGAAGGGACACAAAATCATCACGTACTTGGAGGATGGGATGGCCCGGATACCGCAATTTTTCTAGCGCTTGTCAGTTCAGCAATTTAATCAGAGAAATTTGCAGTTCTGGGCATTTGGCCCATGGGGTAAGTGAGAATATTAAACTGCATACATGTGGCCATGGTCCATATGGGGTTAACCTTGCAGTAAATGATGCAGGCTGACATACAAAACGTGGTCCTGGCAACAGAAAGCAAGGTTAACAGGCCAGGATGTTTGATACCTTACTTTGTACTGTACATGTATATGGTGCTGACCTCTATCTGTGACCTTCAGTTTCCAAATTCCTACTGGGTTCTCACCCCAACATCTCACTGTGCTGAATGTCCAACCTTGGAAACCATCTGATGAACTGAATAAAAAGAAAAATGAATCAATTATACTACATATACATGCATTTAAATGAGGTTTAAAATGCTATTTTCTAGTACCAAAAATCCAAGCTTAAAATACGAAAATCCAAATTACCACTGTGACACAATAATTGTTTTTAACAATGGAGACAGAGATAGATGAGGGAGGGGGGGAGAACAGGGAGCCAATAATGAGAGTTCATTTAGGTTTCAAGTGGCACGTACAAATATAGAACAAGTAAGGTGTTATCAATACGATTATTCATGGTTCCAAGGAATTGTACTTAGCTGATATTTTAGTGATAATAATCACTTACTTTGAGACAAAATATTTGAAACTATAACTTAAATATCTATAAGTAATTACAATGTTCTTAAAAACAAAGTTTGATTTTTTCCCATCCAGAATTGTTAGAAGGTTATCTAAGAATATATAGCTATCTGTGGTGAGTACGCTTTGTACCTGTCTTTAGGTCTTGGTGTAGCTATAACAGAATCAGTCCCACTAGGACATGTCACATGAATGTCAAGACTGCCTCTGTGGGGGTGACTCAAGGTCACTGTCACCTGCACATGCTCAAGTAGAAATAGGTTATATCCTGCTAGGACTTCTTCTGAAACTAGAAAAAAATCAAAATAAATAAAATGTAATAAATCAATTTTTCAACATTACAATGAAAAGCTGCTTAACATAAGACAAAATAATTCTGTTAAGCCCCCTTTACACTGGACAATGTCCTTTCTGCGTCCTGAAGTACAGCCCTGTTTGAGAGAAAAAAAATACTTTAAATGCCGACAACTGGATGATCATTCAGTATTCATTTTGCAATCAAAGCGATGCTTGTGCCTCCTGTCTATGACCAGACCAATGCCAGTTTCATGGTGGCACAAAGGATGCAGAAATTACGTCAGGCTAGCAATCTGTCACAGTGGACCGGTCCAGTTTAATAAACTGCTCATTGCAAAAAAAGGTCTTAAATACTTTCATGGACTATACCAGGTCTTGTAAATTTTTCCTACACGAAAACTATATAATATAAAATAAAACTACAGTAATTACTATTTACATTAGATCATCCCTATTGAGTGGTAGCAACAAAATTTTTAAAAAGGCTAATCTATATATAGTTCCATTCTACACAGTAAAAGCACCACAAATGCTATACAAAAATATAATTTTTGTGATTATAAAATTATGCATCTGAAAATTTGATAATTTTTTCCCAATGAAAAGATCCCATCATTACCGTAAGTCAGTAAATTTCCTTCAAAACAATTTTATGTTAAATCTTTTAATTTAAAGGGTATATGTTTTTCTCTTAATTTTTTAATAATTAAACATTCATTTACTAAAATTATCATCAACACTGCACTCTGAATTGTATACAAAAAATGTAACATACCTGTCATATTCAGTTCTAAAACTTGGGGATGTCTTGGTATTTTAGTATGTACAGTGACCTCTTGTGATGAATATGTTGACATCCATGGCACTGGATCCCACACCTTAATTTGTTCATATATGTACTTTAAAGAATACATACTTCTAATTTTTATTCAACACACAATAATACGTATTCAATTTTTGGTGGTTTAACATTATCAATTAAAACTCATTGTTATAGCAATTTTAAAAGTTGAGATGCATACAAGTAGCAGTATATTGAACTCTGTAATGCCTGGCTTGCTCTTATAAACTAATAGTTGCATGTTGTTCATTGCTTGTCATAAATTCTGCGATAAATATTTATAGTAATTTGGATATGTCCCACTGATTCTGAACCAGATAAATACATGTAGCTTTGGATTTACACAGTGTATGGATGGAAATATAATTATTTTCAGTCAACTCTATAGTGATGTTTAAGTTCAAAAACGACTAGTCCATGCCTTTGCTGCGTTGACAAGTCTCCAAGCGTCCAGGAGTCCAAAGCCATGTTTGTGGCTGTGGTGGAGGCCTGCCTGGTTGGTGGTGAAGTGGCCGGCCTGTTCATCTACCTGGAGTGATAAGGGTATGGGCCCATAACTAAGGATCTAATGGTTCAAAGCAGAAACACTGTCTAGTAACTAAACAAACAAAAATATATGCATGGGCAAAAGTTGTTAAGTTGCAGCCTCTAGCTACTGGTACATTTCCAAATCAAGTGAACATTAATAGCTGAATTTCTTCATACATTTAAGTTCAATATGCTTAAATCAATATGCACAAAATATGGGTTACAACACTGCTTTCCATTTGCACCCTTCATTCAAAGAACTGCTGGCTTTTGTATTCTTGGCCAGGATATGATTCTTTAGCTTCACCAGCAAAACTATTCTTTGGGTTCCAATAAAATGTATGGCCTCTTTAGGAAAATTTTTGAAAATAACTTAATGGTGTATTTTTTTCTTTTTTTTCTATGTCTTTTTTCTAATATACTCTCCTCACATCTTGGATATTATCCAAAATAGTAAATCACTCAAAAAATTGCTAAGTGAAAAACTGATCAGAATAAAATAAAAAAAATTAAATAACATAAAGATAAAGATATAAATTTATGAGCAGGGTAGAAGTAACCCAGTATATAGCCTGATGCAGGCCTACGTCCAGGTTGGCTGTAAGCTAACAGTATGAAAGTTTTCTGGCTAGTGTTAGATAATTTTCATTTAAGAATATCAGTTATTATCTTTTTTAAAAACACTTTTGTAAGTAGATAATTGATTCTAAATATTTAAGCCAAGGGATTTATTCAATTGAGGCCCAATCTCTCTGTTGACTACTCAGAGTACTGGATTACACTAGTGAACTCTACACAATTTTAATATGACTTTGAATTTTATTTATATTTAAAATTACATTTTACCAAAGATGGCATACAACAACTCAACTGACATGATCACAATCAATGAAAAGTTATTCAGACCTTAGTTTGCAGTATCCCTCTGAAGAAATTGCTGCAAAGAATATATGTCAAGAATTGTATTGTGTTGGAGGTGACAACGCAATTGTGAGCAAAATTATGAGTGAGTACGGACCGTAGTAGTTATTGGATTGTGTGGAACGTGGCAGTCTTCATGTGTTCACGTGGGTGAGACCATGATGTTAGTTTTTGTTGGATAATATTCGCCTTAAAGGCGGCTAAGACCCTTTTGCAACAATATACATTTTTTTAAAAATTGAATGTTAATGAGGAGTGTCATGTTCAGAACTATGTATATGATTATTACCAGAATTTCATTTTCAAACTCAAAACTACGCATACCTTTACAGCAGTCATTACAATAATGTGCTGCACATCTCTCCATGTCAAGCAGCTGCGTGCCTGAAGCATCAGCGCAATCATCCCAGCAGCCAGTGGGGCAGCAGCTGAGGTCCCGGAATGTTCATCAGTGCAACCAGTGCCTCCACGCACCATCCAATCTGTTGTCACCTACAATATTTTGCATCAAAGTTAGTTCAAATTTTATTACTTTTTTTACAATATCTTAATATCCTGTAACTTAACCTAGTCATTTGTCCTCAAGGTATATTATCTGCATTTAAAAAAGTCTCAACATCATATCCTCTATGTCTACATACCCTGCAAAACAAATCAGACCTTAAAAGCAATAAACCCCCTCAAATGAAGGTAGATGACATCAATATTTCCTCCTGACATGTACAGGAAGACATGCTGGTCTGATTGACTGTGCAGCACTGTGTGCACTAAATATAAAATATCCAAATTCAAGGGCAGGGGCAGGTTAAGCAACATATGAGGGGAAGGAAAAATTTCTTTTCATATAAAATATCCAACTTGGCAGGAATACCCTTGTTAGAATACCTTCAAGCTTACTTATTGAGCTTAGTTTGATCAAAGGTCTGTAATTTATATGTGGCTTTAAATCCAGTTAAATATCAATTACAATAGATGGAACATATTACTTGTCATAATATTTAGTTTTATCTTCACCCGAAGATGTTTCTGACTCATATTGTGTATCTCACCACATTTCTCAAGCCAGGCCCTCCACTGCTGAAAGTGACTGCTAACATAGAAGCACATTCTTCTGCATAATAAGGCATGTTCCCCAATTCATCAACAGCCCCTAGATTACAACAAGGAGATGTTAAACTTCCAATTTTCTATAAATTTGTTTCTTCAAGGTTAAAAGCAGATCATACTAAGATTCTCATATTACATAAAGTATGGAATAATAATATTGTTTTCATTAAAACTCCTTAATGTCACATACCCAGTTTGCAAAAAAAACAAAAAAAAAAAAAAAAACAGGCTAAAACATGCCTTTATATAATACTGGTTTTCATCTATATTCAACTGCAGGGACAGGTCGACTTAACATTTCAAGAGAAGAAGAAAAACATTTTAAGGAAAATTTGATTTGGCAAGAAAACCCGCCTAAGGATACCTTTAAACATACTTAATACCCTTAGCATACACTAATAATAAGTCACCAAATAACTTCACCCAAATAAGAAATCTAAGACTTGCATTTTGTGCATCATTCTACAAACTAAGTACCTTATATTTATGGGTATATGTCCTTAAGTCTGCAAGTAAATGGATTTGAAATGCAATATTTCTGCCTCAAATAAGAAATCATGTATTTCTGAACATAAGTAATGGGCAACAAGGCTGTTTAGAAATACCTGTACTTTTTTCTGCCTAATAGTTCCCAACCTACCAATAGTAACAGTATAAACTGAATTTGCATAGCCATCAAAGTTGCAGTTGTCTCCATGGAAACCACCATTGCCACTGGCAACCACATAGATACTCCCATAGCCTTGACGACCAAAGTTGACACCTTTTTCCATAGCAGTTTGTGCCAAGATGTGGGGGCCATCTACTGTTTTGCCATCATCATCTGGACCCCAGCTATAAGGAATAAACACAAAAAGGCATAAGAACTAAATTTGACAGATATAAACAAAGGGTATGTCTTAAGGGGGTGTAGTTGGGCATACAATGTAGTTTGAACAGTGGCTTATTTTTCAAAACTTATCAAACTATCACTTTACATACCAAAAGTAAGATAAAGTGGGTGTTAGCAATGTAAAAAGTGCACCCTTTTCAAGACCATTCCCAGACCCTATCGTACTAACTGTGGATCAATCTATCTCCGAGGATTCTTAATAAATTGCAATCAACTTAAGCGGCTTGGATGTCTGTCACGCCTACTGAAGCTGCTAGGGGGTAATTAATGATCATTTAGCAGCTTCAGTAGGCGTGAGATTGATTGATCCTGTTAGATCCTGTTAGATCGATCTAGTTATGGGAACCCAGTCTTAGCTAGGTTAGTTGGTGGTAGTATACGGTCACATGGGCTGTGAAATGCTAGTAGTTGATGCTGTCTCAGAGGTCAGGGAGCTGTCAGATCCAGCTGTCATTATTCTCATGTAAGAACATTTCCAAATTTTGAAAATGGACCCTGGTCATTCATGTTTTTACCCCAGGTGTTAAAGACAGACGTTGCCTATGTATTTTATTTAAAAATAGCATTAATTTTACAAGGTGGGCAATTGATATTTAAGCATCAACAGCATATTGAGACCAAAGATTTTTCATTATAAAATTTTAAGATCCCACAGGCACTATAATATCCTTTTAACTCTAGGTCAAGTGTGTGTGTGTGCATGTGTGTGTGTGTGTGTGTGTGTGTGTGTGTAAAGCCTCTCTTCTGGTCCTCAAATCAAGTTCGGTCCCTTGGTTTAAACTGTTTACCAGAGGCTCTGTTANAAAATCAAGTTCGGTCCCTTGGTTCTAAACTGTTTACCAGAGGCTCTGTTATGGTCCTACACCTGTTAATGTCCATCATGACGTGTTCTAACGTGTTCCCCAAACGTGTCCTTGGCTGACTCTATTATGGTCTCCAATATTTGAGGTTTAAAACTTTGAGAGGCTACCAAAAAACGTACGTAAACTGAATGTTGGAAAGAAATGCATTTCAATTATTTAAATTGTATTATATTTGCTATAATATTTTCTCAGATTTTTTAAAGAACACAAAAGTTTTGCTGCGTGACTACCTTTAGGATGCTTAATACTACTACAACATTTATGGCGTTCTCTGCTTCTTGTTTGCTTCTTGTTAGGCCTACATTCGTGGGTGATTGTGTGCATGTGGGGGGGGGGGGGGCTACTCACTCACTGTCATGATCGTGCAAACTTTATTCCGTTTCAAGTTATTATAAGCTCTTATTTTCATATGGACGCGTTTATTCCCGTGAATTTCCTAAATGTCCACTGGACTGTCAAGAACTAAAGTGAGTCAGAGCTTAAATCAGAACTTAGTCCCTTATATAGGCACAGTATAATGGATTTTTACTGCATACGTTTTATAAATCTATTAATACTGCAATTTATGTAAAGAGCTCCTTATGAAGGATAGTCTAGCTACTTTATTCATTTACGCATTTTGTTTCAGATTTTTTTTCGATTTTCAGGATTTAGGGTTTAGGTATGGTCACTATAAAAATACCAAAATGTAGGCGTTTTGTGCAAGTAGTAGAAATGGATTATATTATTTTCGAATCAGCGGATCTAAAATAAACAATGTTTATTAATAAGCGTGCAATATATTCGTAATTATAGCCTGTTTGACTGCATTTAAACTAAGACGCAAGTGAACATAATGAGTGTTTGATTGACGGGGCTGGTTTAGAGATGAGCTGCATACCTTGTTGGTATTTATACCTAGGCTTTCACAAGCTATATGTCCCATATCATTCGCATAATGTTTAAGTGATGTTTTGCTACTGGATGACAACTTACATGTAGCATCCCAATTGTATTGCTTTAGGAGCGTACAGTGAAGGGAATATCATGAAATCCCAGTGATCTGACCAAATACATTGTGGAGATTTGAGGGACTAATGGTAGAGGACAGATCCAGTATAACTAGGTAGTATAAGTATGCATACCAATGCAATTTACTGTTACACAACGCCGTACTCCCTTGGGCAAAATTAAAGGCTAACATCCCCGTTTCAATTTACCACTTCAAGGGAAAGATTTAGAGCAGCGCCAATACTAATTAGAGCTTTTAAGCAGATTGTTGGAAGATTGTGTTAATTCGTTACATCTAAGCTTTGTCAGGGATTAATTTTTGGTTGGGGTTATGGTTTATGTTTAGTTTAGTTTAGTTTATTTCACTGTAACATATGCATCCACTTGTGTGGATGAAAATGACAATATGAATACAATTTATGTGTCGATTATAATTGGAATGCCTTTGATAATTTTATAACCAAGACTTATGGAATAAATAATTTGCTAAGTTTTATAATTATGTGTGAGGACGTGGGCGAAAACGGGAGTCACCCTATTGAACGTAGGTTGGGAACTGATGAATGAAATTAAGTAAAATTAGTTAGATTTAATACAGATTAAGAATTTTAGACGCATTTTTGTTGCTGCCAAAGATAGCTTACGAATTATGGATTCTAAACTTGTGTGTTTGTGGGAAACTTTTAGTTTTATTTTGTTCTAAGGTTAAAGAGACGAGGCCTAAGAAGCCTATACGCGTTAATTCTCTAATGTAACTAAAATTTTCAAATAACGATTTTAAAATGAAAAAGCTGTTAAAATAAGCTTTTTTTTTAGAATATCACGTTCGGTTAAGAAGATACCGGTAACATACGCCTCCACAGATCTGCTACCCCCCCTCCCCTTCTTAACCTGAAAAAGTGCTGTCCTTGAAAACAAGTCTGATTTTACGGACAAATTCTGAATACCTGATCTTGGGTTCACAGAGCGTCAGCTGGTTATTTTGAAAAGGGTACAAAAATATAAATGAATGTGTGATGCAACAATAAATAATTGTGTAAATAATGTCGTCTAGTGAGCCTACAAATGTATTCATATCATTCAGTGCTCAATAAACTTATTGTTTTTATTATAAAAATCTATGGTGCAAATTGGCTTGACGTAAAAGTAGAACTAAACCGAATCTCGTTATACCAGTTTGGATTTAACAAAATGGACATACAAATAAATGCAGTAGCTCTGTCAACTGTAATTATTTACACGACTTGCAAATGGACTGGACATATGTGGCAAACACTGACCACACCATATATATGATCTGATAGCGATTTGATTTATAACCAACGCAGCAAAAATTCTTCTGACGTGAGCCAGTCTTCAGAAAGAATAACAGTGCAGGAAACGATAGACGGAGAAAGAAAAAGCTGGTACTACGAATTACAAACGCCAAGATGAATGCAGTTCTAGGACTGTTGACATTTCTTTGTATCCTATGCATAGCTGTTGAGTCAGCAGACGAGGTAAGTTTCTTTTCGTGACTTACCTACACTGTAAGTTTTGACAAATGAAAAAAAATTGATTCAAATGTAAAAGGTACACTCCATGACATTTAACCGACAAAGGGGATTTCCAGGAAAATAAACAATTTGCTCGTACTCCCGAATTATTAATCTTTCCTTCTCTGCACTTGGATTCGATTTGATCAAATTTATAAGGATTGGTTTTCACCTTTAAAGGAATGGCCAGTCATTAAAGCAGCGCCCACTTCCCCATTTCCAAGAGAAATGTCAACATCAGGTACGGGTCAAGAGAAAAACAAAAGAGATTAAATCACTGTGTGTAAGATTTGTTAGAAACTATGGATGGCAAAATTAAGCGTTTTTGGGGAATTTTCAAAGACATGGAGTGTACCTACGCTGTGTTATACTTGTTAAGGAATGAATGCAGTTATTAACGAGAGAGAATAATTTCCTTAACAATTTAGTTAGTTGGATATGAGTTTGCTGTTATTGATACATGTATTTGGAGCAAATTGGTGTAATTGTATTCATATTTAAAGGACCATTACAGACACGAGAAATATCCTTAACACGCCCAATTCTAAAATAACTGTGGTTCCAAAAGTACCACAGCGTTAAAAATTGGGAATATCCTCTAGCATAAAATTCAATCACTCGTAATCAGTGCAAATGGAAATTATTTAACCCCGCCCTGGTTTTTGATAATTTACAGCAATTCAGCGCAACACAGCACAATACATTTTAAAAAAAACGAGTCCAGTCACAAGTAAACAGGGTCATACCCAACAAAATAGGCTGATTCTAGAGGGAAATTTATAAGTGATGTACTCTGATGTACTTCTATACTGTGGTATCAAGAAATGTATCATGTAAACATTATATGAGACGCCTGCAATGTGATGTGAAAACACGGGCATCACGTTTTAGTAAGTGGATGTCTTAAAAAGTCGGTTTGACTTTTATGAATAATTCAGACAAAGTTTATGTTTAAAAGCTTTCAGCTTAGAATAACAACGGCTTAAGAATTACCAATTATTAAAACAAAGACCATCCTGACAGATGTTAATATTTTTGAAGAACTTGTCAAAAAGCCGCAACATTTTAGTTAGACTACGGCCACAAACACACACAAAAAAAATACAGACCGAAAACCAATATTAGCCTATTTAATTTATTGCCAGATTAATATCGATAAATTGCTGCAACGATGCGTACATCTTATCATCACACGTTTGTTGCTCAATGAAGATGAAGACTCTCTTATACACTAATTCCAGGAAAAAAAACGCTCGCTTGAATTGCGAAAAATATCACGTTCCAATACGCGCTTGCAAGCTAATGAAAAACATTCGACATGTGCATCAGCCTCGTGTTCAAACGGCTGTGACTGAGGATTATTGAGGCAACGGAGAGACCTGTATAATTTGCCAATTAAAACATAGAAAATAAGATTAAGATCTCGGGATTCAATCGGCCTCTGAAGTTCTCTTACACAATTAACAACGGTTGTGTCATGAAAAATATATTGTAAAAACTGTATGACATCTGCTGAGTGATTGAAAACACATACATAATAAGTGGGGTGTCTGT